TTTCACGTATCACTTGCATGTATCCATGCCTGTTGCTCAAGGTTCTAGCAGAGTACGATCTACAGCTGTGCGCCTGTAGTAAAAGAGACTCCTGTGTGCCTGTGTTCTTGTACGCCTTAGCGAGGGGATACACGCCCAGGTTACATCTCAGGGGGAGGGAGGTGTCGGAAGGCTTTCATAACATAAGGGTGCCGCCCTGGTGGATCTTGAAGAACTCGCCTGGCATTGCTGGCACGGCGTAGGCTCATCAGGGTTGACAGCCCGAGGTGGGCTCGCAGATTGAACCTGAACAGGTCAAGTTGAAGGCCAGATGTGCAGGGTATAAGCGGTATAAGGATGGAGATTCAGGGACCTCGCGGTTCCTCGCTGGCTTTGAAGATTCAATCACGAAGGCGGGCCACGGCAGTCAAAGGCCCTCATTCGCAGTGAGAGGTATGGGCTTCCAGGAGTCCGGAGACTGTGGAGCTTCCGCTTTCCGACCCCCCCGGCAGACTCAAAAACCCGGGGAAGCTTCCCAATGCGGCCCTGGCCGCCTGAGTGGGCTCCACTCCTGGCAGGTCACCCAAAGGTTCCGAAATCCTTTCTGAACAAGTTACCAGAAAGAGTTGAAATGGAGAAGGGGCGCTTTACGGGACTTGGCGGTAAGGTCTATAGGATGCAGGGCTGGGGCGGGTGTAGGGATTTTCTATACCCGGCTTTCGTCTGCAAAGGAATCGGGGTCTTGAGGATGCTTGCAAGGTGCTAAGAGCAACCGACGAGAGGATGATGTCCACAAAAGAACGGACTCGCAAACCCAAGGGCCATGAACCCTTCAAACTCTCAACCCCTCAACCTTAACCCATTAAGCTGAAACCACTTAAAGACTAAGCCTTTATACCCTAACCCCCCCGCACCCTCTCCATTCCGTAAGCGAGTCAACATAGACCCCGGTCTTTGATCCCAGGCCTTCAAACATAAGCTCCATGCTCGAAAGCACGAGCCGCTCGCGTTTCAGACTTTTGGGAGCTGAAGGTTTGCGGTTTGGGGTTCAAGGCTCAAGGGATGGGGTCTGGGCCTTTGGAGGTTAAAGGTTCGAAGCCTGTGGGTTGGGCTGAGGGTTTCAAGCAAGTGGGTCGATGTCTGGAGTTCAAGGTTCCAGGAGTATAAACCCTAAGACTTTTTTCGACTTTTTTTCAACTTTTTTTCAACTCTTTAGGGCCTCATCTAGCGTCTCAGTACTCAGTACATGTAACATCCTACCATGGGCGGTAAATAGCAAAATCAGCCTCAGACTTGCCGAGCATAGCTGATGGTGCCTCATTCGAAGTCCTGTGTGTGCTTGCTTACCACTCATCTGCTAAACCCTATGATGATGAGCAAGTGAGGAAGTATGCATGTGTGTTGATACACGAAAAGGGGGAAACAAAACCTAGCAAGACACACTACATTAAACATGCGCTTTGTAAGCACGAGCCCTCTGGCGCCTCCAATGTCTTTGGCCTCCCAAGCTCGGGCCCAGGCAGGGGGTAAATAACTTCTGAAAAGGAAAAACTAAGACCGAATAGGAAGTTCAAGGAGGGTTCCCATCAATGGTGCCTCTTCGGGAGTTCGTTGGAGTTCCGATCAAGACTTCGTTGTTCAGGGGTCTTGCTCCGAGGGCTACTAGCGCTGCGGGTATTAGACGCAAATGACACAAGTGGAAAGTGCTAAGGTGCATCTGATGGTCTTGTCTTTGTTCTATGTTCGCCAAAGTCGCGTACATTGACATCGAATTCTTCTTGAACCGCGTCTTGGAGCACCCGACTCTTCGAGTTCAGATGCAGTTTATGTAATTCGAATCTTTTGTGGCTCCAGTAGTTCATGCCAATTCAATTCTTGTCACTCCCGTACGCGAGCCAGAGAATTTTGCCTGATGACAACATGTTGGGCTCTCCCTTACCCACTGCCCCACTGTCTTGCACTACCAAACCAAGCGTGGAAGCGCCCTTCGAACAATTCTGGCATGGGTGGGCCTGGGATGCCGGTTCTTCTTCTTCCGGCTCCTAAGCAACCCGGGCTTGGGTCTCAAGTCGGTGCACTTCCAGGCCCTTCCCGTGTAAATTCGATGCGGTGCTTCCCCCGCCAATCTGCCCTCTCCCAACTTCCACAAGCAAAACATAGAACGCAAACCCAAACCAAGTGCTGAAACTTAGAGAGCCTTCACCATCCTCATACCTCTGCCTCTACTCAGAGTCATAGAAAGCATGTCCAAGTCCTCAGCTTCAGCCCTCAAGGCCAAGTAGACGCACGCCGCACGAATGAGCTTTGTACTACAGCGGCATATAGTTCGAAAGCTGCGTGTTCCCTAAGTGCCACGCCCCCGCAAAGCTGCATTTTTTCCGTGGATGTACCGGGGCAAAGAGGCGACAAGACCATCCCAAAAGGATCCTACTGCTTCGAGTCTTTATTCGGGTAGTTTATATTACGAATCTCCCGTGGAGAAGTCAGACTAGGGTTCCCACTGACTGGTCCGCCCGGACATCCTCAACCACCTGCCGCGAAACCCATGGAAACTTCGGGACTCTTGGCGCTTCGGCCGCAGGCCTCTAAGGGTCCATACTTGTCGCGTTGCGTGTGCAAGGCTTCGGGGAGGCTCAGAAGTCTCTGGGCGAGGGGAAGCTGTCGCTCTAGCGAGCTCTGGCCACCAAGAAGCTGTGATACCCTACACCTTGAGCCGACTTGCAGCTGTTTTCTAGCCTTGCGACGCCTGTCCAAAGCCAAGTCACCCTGCAGTTACGCTGCGTCTTTGAGCTTTCTCTGTTAGATCTCGGAAATGTAGGCTCAGGGCTCGGGAGCTAGACCTACCATAAACGCTTTGTCCGATTTGCTAACTGGTTCAACTCTTAGTGGTTGTGTTCAGGAGAACAGTCTGTGGGGACACACACACACACGCGCACATACGCATATGCGGATGTTGCTACACTTGTATACGTACAAGTCTTCCCAGGCGGGAAAGGCACGAAACAGCTCAAATCCAGAAGGGCTACACCCAAGCACTTCTCTTTTTTACTACTGTATGGCAGGAAATGTTCAGCCAGAGCGGCGTGAATCTTACCTCTCGCGTCTCACATGCGCATTAAGCTCTGAACTCTGAACTGCCCCAGGACTCAGTTCGGAATTTCCGCAAAGGATTTCCGTACTCAAGAAGTCAATCGTAAGGGCAGCATGGGGACACATTAGTCCTCGCCGGGACTGGTCATGCAAGGCCACGGAACACGATCATGTTGAAGCTCTGGAGCCCTACCTCTGAATCTTTGTCTGTAGGATATTGCATCATTACTTCGTGCAAACGTGGGAAGACCTAGCCAGAAAATGAAACGCCACCCCCTGTTGCGCCTCCTCATTCGGCTGCTCGGCAGTGTTCGCCTGGCACGGGCCGTGCTCTTAGGACGGACGGGTTTGGTGCCTGCAAGGAAAGCTTTGGGGAGGCTCAGGCGGCCGACTTCTTCTCTTCTCTCCTGCGGCTTCCGGATGTATGCTTCCATGGGTGAACGTGTGAAGGGCATGTGATCCCACTGGGAGCCTACGTGAAGGCAGCCATAATCCTGCTTGCCGCTTGCCTGCTACCTCCAACTCTACGACGAAAGCTTCTGATCATCCACAGCCCGAGCGGTCAAAATCACAAACCCCACTCAGTAGCGATGAAGTCTTGTGAAAGACTCTGTTCTCCAGCATTTCAACTCAACCGCAGTTTATCCCTGCAGAAGTCTCACTCCCATGCCCTCGCGGCAACGTGCAGCCGTCTCCCCCCACGCCCCCGATCAAAACACTGTCGTAGCTCTACTGCCGCAGCTCGTGAACTGCCCAACCCTACATTCCCTGCATGCCAAGCAAGCCAACTCCGGACTTGCGAGGGACCTCTGAAAAAACGCACAAAGTGTCCGAACAAACGGTCCCCAGCCGTAGCCCCCGTAGGGTCTAGGGTTCCATGCCAGGACCTGATTGAGAAACCCTTTCTTCTTACTGGCATTCCTGATATGAGAGCTATCGTAGGCTGGGGGCATTTGGTGGACTTAAAACATGCGTAACACGACACAACCCTCCGTTCCCAGTCGGCTGCTTCGCAGCTGTTCCCCACCTCTGCAAGAGCAGGTTCTTCCACAGCGACTGCCTTGAAGTTGTGCAGGGTTCAGCGGAGTCTTACATCCGGTTGCTTTCGCAGTTCCATTCAAAGCAGCAAAGTATCAAGACTGTGACTTCCGTTGCGGTAAGTTTCGATAGTGTGGCTCAGGGTTCACTTAAGGGAGGCACTCCGCTGTCAGGATGTTCCAAGCAAAACGCCCATGCTTCCCAAAACCTTAAAGCTTGAGCACAAACCGCTAAACCCTGGCGACCTCTCGGTCTCGACCCCTTCCTGCGTCTCGGGTTCAACCGTTGAGATTTCAAGAGATCCCAGTATCGCTTGATTTATGCAAACCGCCTTACATTCCACCAGCATTTTCATCTGCTCGAGGTGGAACAGGCTTTGCCAGGTCGGATCAGAACGATGCCGAGGCGCCCAGGAAACTCTACCGACGACTTCGCTTGCCAGCTTTATGTACTCCTGAGCTCTGGGTCTGGGTTTAAGGTGGAGAAGTCGCTTCCACTCTCAAGCACTCCTGCTGACATTGAGATTTCTTTTCGGCTGATACGGTTCAGGTACGGGCTTGTGGGATTGTAGGCCCGCTTTCATTACGTTCGACTCAGGACGCAGGTTTTGCGCGGTGCTTTGGGTCGGTTTCATGAAAATGCAGGTCGGGGGTTACTGCACGGGACCCAAGGACAAAGTAAAACTAGAAATAAACGCCAGCTTGCAAAGCCACATCAGCCCTCGGCCCTGGTTTGAGTGAACACATCATCGGAGACATGACTTTGACGAGTTGAGCCGTGCTTTGGGCTTACGGGTCGGGAGCTATTTTGCGAGACTTTCTGCGTGGTGCGCTTCGCTTCGCGTCCGGAATGGACTGAGTTCCAGGATGCTCTAGAGCTCTAGGGTTTTGGAAACTGGGGTTTGATTTCTTCTTAGTACACACTTTAGTGTGCTCTGTAGCCGAGATGCCTTCAAGTTCGCGACGAAAGCCGGCGGCACCTCTTTCAGTTTCCTTAGATGCACGGTTAATCAGCCTGCCAGCACTTAACGTGGATGTGGTTGACGTTGTCGAGAAATCAAGCTATGCTCTCAGAGTATCTGCGAGGTGATAACTGGCCAAAGCTCACTTGACGTGGACGCGATTGATACTGTTGGGAGATTAAATAAATAATGCCAGCAGAATGTCTGCAAGCTTCGATGTGATTGGGTTTTCATCTGCCCTGTCGAATCTTTTTAGTTTTGTCTCCATATGCTCCCCCCAATGGACCTACCACGCAGCCTGCAGTGTGCTCTCCTGGCCAACGCAGGCACGTAATGTAAACTACAAGCTTTACAAGGGTCCCCAAAAATAGTATCAGAAGAAGAAGGGACCGCGAGTCTCTGTTGCGAGGTCATTTGCACACTTTTTTGCACTTTCTATTGCAATTTTCCAGGCACCGCTGAATTTTTGGAAAACAGTGTTTTCCCTAAGAAAAATGCGAACAAAGTGTGAAAAAAGTATCAAACTAGAAGACGGGTGGCCCGAAAACATCATTTGCGAAGAGTTTGGCGCTATGTAGAGTCACAGAGTTAAGTACATAAAGTCATAGAGTCAAGTGCACAGCCTGAGTACATGGAAGCTAGTACATAGAGTCATAGAATCATAGAGTCAGGCAGTCTACGATCAGTCAGAGCGGTGACATAGCAGTCAACCTAGAGTCAGGTACGTCAAGTCCTAGAGTGAAGCATAGAGTCCTAGAGTGAAGCATGAGAGTCATAGAAAGTGACGCAGTGAAATAGTCATAGAGTCCTAGAGTTTCAACATCAGTCCGTGTTTATCGCCCAATGCACTTGGCTCGATGTACTTGACTCTGTTGACGCTACGGGTATCTCCACGCTATGTGTATACGTCACTCGATCTATGTACTTCTCTTGATGGCTCCGTACAGACGCACTAGGTTGCGCGGGAACCCAAGAAAGTAGCAACTTTACCTCGTGTTTCTGCACTCGACCACGCCAATCCCCGCAAAGGGTCGCGCGCGGCGCCCTAGAAGTTGCAACTTTGCCTCGCGTTCACCTCGCGTTCCTGCACTCGACCACGCCAATCCCCGCGAAGGTTTACGCGGGAACCCCGTGCGGCGCTCAAAAGTTGCAACTTTACCTTGCGTTCCTGCACTCGACCACGCCAATCAATCCCCGCAAAGGGGGTTACGCAGGAACCCATTCGACCACGCAAAGACACACGGTGAGGGTTGCTTTTCGCTACCCTCGAAAACGCGAATCCCCGCAAAGGGTTGCGAATGGTGCCCAGTGGCATCCGTTTGCCTCGCGTTTTGCGGTTCCCGCGCAAGGTCCCGCAGAGGGTCGCACGGGAACCGCGTGGCGCGGCGCCTGTTTCAAAAGTGCAACTTTACCTCGCGTTTCGCTTCTTGACCATGCGAATCCATCGTAAGGGTTGCTTCGTGGCGTCTACATCGTGCGCTTTACCTCGCGTTCGTGAAGTCGACCACGGGTTCCCTCGGGAAGGGTTGCGAGGAATCGGGCGTGTCTTCAAGTGGCGTCTAAAAGGGTTGCAATTTACTTGGCGTTCGTGCACTTTCGCGAAAATGACCACGCCCCCCAGTCCCAAGGGTTGCGAAGGAGGTCGGGGAACCGCAACTTTACCTCGTGTTCGTGCACTCGACCAAGCGAATCCATGGTAGGGGTTCATTCCCGGTAGGGTCGGTCGACCCTGCCCCGGCTTTGGAAAGATAGAAAGAAATACCGAGATGTAAGTAGAGATAATAGGCTATGTAGATAAGTCTATGTAGATAAGTCTATATGTAGATAAGTCTATGTAGATAAAAGTCTATGTCAAGAAGTCTATGTACTATGCACTTGGAACTAGATATACTTGGAGCTAGATATTTTTAGCACTCACACTCGACAAAGCAGGCGAGGCTTCGAGCTAGATATACTTGGAGTTAGAGATACTTGGAGCCAGATATACCGAGATGTAAGTATACCAAGATGTAGATAAACCCATGTAGATAAACACTTGGAGCTATGCACGTGGAGCTATGCACTTGGAGCTATGCANNTATGCACTTGGAACTATGTACTTCATCCTATGTACTTCTCTGAAGGGCTTCGCACGGAAGAACCCTTCGCGATGCTTTCGGGAAATAGTCCAAAATCTAGATTTCCAGTACAGAAGGTACCGCGGGCCTTTGGAGCGCGGCCATCTGCGCTGTTTTTGGACTTTTTAAACATTTTTTGCATTTTTCCAGGCACAGTTGGATTTTCGGAATAATTTTTTTTCAGGAAAATTGCGAAAAAAAACTGTGAAAATGGTCCAAAGAAGGGACCGTGAACGTCTGGAGCGCGGCCATTTGCACTGTTTTGGTATATTTTTCACACTTTTTTGCATTTGTCCAGGCACAGCTGTGTCTTCGGAAAATAATGTTTTTTCGAGGAAACTGCGTAAAAAAAATGCAGAAAAGGTGTGAAAGTGGTCCAAAACCTAGGTTTCCACTGCAGAAGGGACCGCGTTGCACTGTTTTTTTGCTTTTCTTTTTTCCAGGCACAGCTGGATTTCAGGAAAATATTGTTTTCCCTAGGAAACATGCGAAAAAAGTGTGAACGTGGTTCAAAACCTAGGTTTCTACTCCAGAAGGCAGCTTTTTGCAGTTTTTTCACACTTTTTTGCATTCTTCCAGGCAGAAGTTGGATTTTCGGAAAAGAGTGTTCTCCCTAAGCAAAATGCGAAAAAAGTGTGAAAATTGACCGAAACCTGGGTTTCCATTACAGAAGGGAGCGCGGGTTTTTGGAGTGCGGCCATTTGCGCTGCTTTTGCACTTTTTTCACAGTTTGTTCGCACTTGTTTAAGGAAGTCATTGTATTTCCAGAAATCCAGCTGTGCCGGGACAAATGCGAAAAAATGCGAAAAAAACGTGCGAATGGGCTTACTTGTTCCTCATCTTCTACTGTTAAGTAGTCTTATATACGTATGCTACATTTCAGGTATCTTTATTTACACATTATTTACACTTTTCACACTTTGTTTACACTTTGTTTACACTTTATCTACACTCATTTTAACAACTTATTTACACTTGTTTACACTTATTTCACACTTCTGTCAGCTACCCTTACAAAATATTTACACTTTTAATGCACTTTCTTTACACTTTGTTTGCACTCTCGCGTGCACTTCTTTCACACTTTTTTCACACACATTTCATGATCTGAGAGCTATCCAACGTTAACAGAACCAGGGCGTCTTAATACTACCTGCTGCTGCTGCTGCTACTTCTACTTCTACTTCTACTGCTGCTACTACTACTACTACTACTGCTACTGCTGCTACTACTACTGCTCCTGCCACTGCTATTGTTGCGGCTACTTCGACCACTACTTTTGCCTCTGCTGCTGCTACTATCTGTATTCTTTTGACACAAGTCTGCAGACGGACGAGGTCTCAGAAGCATTCACTCCTCCCCAGCCGGTGTCACTCGGAAGGCTCGCTGTCAACGGAAGCACTAGAAACGGCAACAGCAAGTCTCGACTGATAGGATTGCCCCACTGACAGCAGTGTCGAAATAGTTGCAACTCCTGCCTTGCTTCTGCTACTGCTTCTGCACTACTGCAAGTGCCACCACCACTACGGCTTCCTTTACCACAGGTAGGGCATTAGGAGGAGGAGGAACAACAGCAAACAAGGGAGCGAGGATAACAACAGTGACAAGCGATTTCACACTGGAACCCCGCAAAGCAGTACTAGCATACCTTTACCGACTTACAGGTTTCTGACGGTCGGATCATGAGCAAGGCACTAGCTTCTGCCGCCTTTCCATTACTATAGTTGAAACCGGTATGCAAGCCCTCGAGAGCTTTTGTCGCCTGTGCCGCGAGATTACCAGAAATCTCACAACCCAGGAATCTCAACTCCCGCCGAGTTTCTCTGCTTGTTCTGGCGATAGGAGTGCCAGGGCCTCCTGTTCATGGTGCAATGTCGCCGCAGACATTGGGGGGGATGCTGTTGATCCATCCCGGAAAGCCCAGCTACGAAAAGCTCCGCAAAACACTCTGACCAGACCCCCCAAAATGTGACCATGTTGACCATGTGACCCAGGAACTAACCCTAACAGCTCACTGCTTGAGAAACCTGGGATGCGCGGGAGGATCACACAAAAAATCCTTGGGAGGGGTCGCGAGGATCTCGCATCGGCGTTGCCATTCTTGCAATACTTGAATGAAGACGCCGACAGTCTCGACGTCGAGGTGGCTTCTCCTGAGCTCAGGGTTCGAGCCCTTCAGAGACATGGGATCCCCCGATCAAATGGGAGGTAAAGGGTGCCAGGCCTATATGTCGGCAGAAACATTTTCGGCTGAAGTTGGGTAGGGAATTTCGAGTTGTGCATTTGATATAGATAACTCCAAAGCCGCGAAGCCCGGTAAAGAGATCCCGGTGAAGAAATCCTGTGATCACCTACAAAGCCCCTAACATTGCGTACCTTGCTCCACCGTCCATTCTTCCTGCCAGGCTCTGTGCCATAGACGGCTAAGTCTTAACCCAAAGCCGCACATAGTTCAGGATTTTAGGGTTTGGGCTAAAGCTAGCCGTAATGGGAAGCAGAGCAGCAGCAGGTCTTGCTTACGTGAGAAACGTGTCCCGATGAACTGTTCACTGATCATGGGATGTTGGCACCTCCGAGCTCATCTCTGCCGAAAGAAGGGGTGGTCCTACAATCAGAACGCCCAGCTTTACAATTGTGGATTAAGGCTAACCTCTGGGCTCTTGGGGTTCAATGCAGACCCTGATGAGCTCCGAAAACTGCGGAAGCCAACGTGAAGACCGAAATCGTGAGCCTAGCAGCTCAAATCTCCGATCCCCTGGTGCAAACACCACAACAGCGCAACAAGAAAAAGGCTCCTACTGAAGGCTGAAGGCAACTGTAGCCAGACTCTTGATGCAAAGTGTAAGCCGACACAGCCCCAATGCTAATTCAGTAGTGGCTCAGCAGGACGGAGTTAAACCGCTGCGGCTTCTTGGCCTCGGAAGCGACTTACGATACGGAACTTTGGGCAGTGCCAGTGTCATGTGCTGCCAAGTAGGTCTCCAGTTGGGACTTTCCTGAATCAAAGGCTTGTGCACCACCCCCTGACGCTTGAAATGCGTGACTCTCAATTGTAACCCTCCCCGAAAACAGCCTCAGCCCCATTTATCCGAAGTTACGTTGTCAAGCCTGAAGACAAGCACGATTGACGACGACACTTATGCTTCCAAGGTGTCCGGCCTTGTAGGGTTTCATGCAGAGTGCAAGACTAAGGTTTAGCCGAGACACTAAGGACAGTTTTCACAAGCGGCTTACGGTAGTTCTGTGTGAATGAAATGCGTATGCGTACTTGGGTTGAGAAACCAGCTTGACGTTTGTCGATCCGAAATCGACATGCTTATCCTGTGTGCCTAGCCTCAGATGCCAAAGCGTACCAGCATCCCGAAGTCTGTTGTTGTCCGCTTGGGTTCCTTCCTTTCCGGCAAGTGTGCAGACAGGTCAGACAGACAAAGATGCAGTCGCGGAGGCAAGCCCTTAAACAGCATCCTCATTTACAGCCAGATGTAGATAAAGTTCGATGTCGTTCCATCACGCCTTCCATCTGAGAACTTTTCTGCTCGGCTGGTGGGTTTGCTCATTGGTTGATTGGATGCCTAGCGAGAACCATTGGGCTAGCCAGCTGGCCTGCTTTGCACGCCTGTGCCCTCGTGTCTTTTTCTCTTCACTTCCGCATTTATCTGCATGCACAAAGATTGTGTGGGCACTTGTTTTGCACAGCACCCTGATATTCAGCAATGTTAAACTCGAAAGAGAGCTTTGCAGGACGGGGCGCTCTGTCCAGCAGATCTGTGACCGGCCAACTCTTGTCCAAGGAGGACCGCGGTTCGTCGGCCAATTGCTCGCCGAGACTCGGAAGTTGTGACGGTTTGGGTTCTACTGGGCTCTTTGCTAGGGAACCTACGTCACAAATTCCTGCCATGGTAACTTGGAACAAGTTCCTTCACACGAAGCATGTCCAGGGCTATCTAGAGAGTCCGATATCCGGAAAGCAGTTCATTCTACGAGGCCTACTTCTCCCGAAGCTGTCCAGTGTAAGTGATGCTGGTACACTAGTGGCTCGCGAAAGATTTGATCTACTGGGGTCTTTGAGAGGCTGTATGAGGCCTTCATAAGTAAGAGCTTCCTGGTTGTTTGTCTAGCCTTGTCTCTACTGGTCTCGGTCTTCGGAGCTGCCAGCGCACCTTGACGTGTAGGCAAATTGGTCATTGTGTTGGTGTTTGTCTGCATCCTGAGGAAGTCTAGCATCTTCGTGTCAACTCCGATTCAATGTACCTGCAATGCAGACCCGAAGCGGTAGGTTCCAGCTCATTCGCAAAGGAGGACACCACTTTCTGATCAAATCATACAGCATCCACCCAGGCGTCCAAACCCTTCGTTAAGAAGATTCGAAATCTCTGATATCTCCAGGTCTGTAAAACATCAAAACGGAACACGTAGAAGTGGACACTGGACTCCAGATTGTTCATGCAAAGCGGAAAGGGCCGGCTCAACCCCAGAACGCGCAGCGCTTACATCCAAGCACAACGCCCCTCACGCACGGCTGATCTGAATTTCTGATGCTCTTGTCCTGAGCTCTATGTAGACTCTTATCTGCGTGCGAGCTGAGCACAAATAAATCTGATCGGATTCTTTGTCGTAGGCCTTGTTGATCTGCCGGTTCCACCTGAGAGCGAGGGAATCGTTTCGATCCGAGCGTCGGGATTTAAGCCTCAGAGTTCAAGGAAAAGGCAGGTCTGAGAAGGTAAGGGCTAAAGGCAGGTCCTTTGGGAAGAACTGAAAAATCGTAGAAGCCGATCGGCCACACCTTCCACACTAGGTCCTCTACACGACTGCAACGACTAGCCCCTCGAAGCTCTGCGTCAAACAGTTTCTGGGCAAGCTTCTCTTCAACACCCCCGCGTCTCCTGTGGGAGACAACCTAAGCTCCGAAGTCAGAACAAGCGACCGAGCAGAGTCCCTCTCCTGCCGTTCTTCACAGTGGTCGCACCAAGTCCTGACCGCGAAGGGCTTCGGGCTTAGGGTTTTGGGGGCACGAGGACCCCAAGAACTTCTACTGGATTTGGTCTGGGTGGGGGTTCCAGCTCAGAGCAAGCAGCGGACATGGGGAGGGCAGCCAAACTCAATCTTTGTAAGACTTGGATCTCAAGACATACCAAAAAATCCTTGTCGCGTCTTACGTGCAGTTTCCTAGAAAAACTGCGGGTTAACCTTATGTTCAGCGGCATCCTCAGAGGTCTCACTACGCAAGGGCACGTAACAGCAGGCCGGACAATCAGGAGGAACCTTGCTTGTCCCCGTGGCATCTTCACCCAAACCCTGAACCATTCACGGTCGCTCGAAATGCCAGTGTCGGCCCCCAATTCGGGGTATGTCTTTGGGTGTAGATCTGCTCACGCCCAGCACCCTGAAAGCTAATGTTCACATGCATCTTCTCCATGAGCCTCTTACTTTCCTACAAACCCCCAATCCAAAACGCCCTCGGCGTCGGTTGAGTTCGAGCCTCAATGTCCTGAATCTGAGCATGGCTCTCACTCAGACAATCGCAAGTCGTCAGCACGTGAAGTGTCTCCGACCAGAAGCCCACTGTCCCGGACTCGACTTGGCTTGCGCCGCCATGGAGAATATATATATATATATATATATATATATATATATATATTAGGCAAGAAGGATTCTATCGGCTCACACCTGGTGTGCAAAGTTTTCCTCATTTCCCCTCCGCTCCTCAAGTCCCGGATCAGCTGCTCCAGCTGCCAACCTGGCCCCTGAGAGTCCGGGAGAGGAAAAAAACCCAGTCCATGACTTCTAGGGACGAGCATCTACCTACTCCCGCCAGCGCTGATTTGGGTAAATCCCGTCACGTCACACCTAAGACCTAAGAGCTGCCGCAACCGGGACTAGCCGAATATTTCTCCTTGTTCCTGCGTGGAGCTTCCCCGACATATGGCCTTGAACAAGTCCGGGGAATGGACGGCTGGACGGTTACACAAATTGCAGGCAGGGAAGCATTCGGAAACCAACCATCAACTGATTTCGACATGAAACCAACTCAAAACCCTCCTTGTGCTAGGTGGAATCTTCGCCGGAGCACCTTCTTCTTCTCAACCACCTGCTTGCCCTCCTTGACACAGAATCTAAGCGTGTTGACTCTCGAGAGGGTCCGTACGGTTAGGTTTCTTCGTATCCGAGCATCTCCGTAAGTTGCACTGCCCCCTCCCTCCCCGCACCCTCCGGTTAGAGGAGGCTGCCCCAGCAAGCACAGACTCGAGTGAAAAGGAAGACAGGGTTGTTGGCGTCTCTAGGGCGAAAAAAACGGCTTAGCTTCCTGAGCATTCCTCACCTTTCGTCGGATCGAAATGCTCGCTTCTGTTCCCCGCCATACTTCGCAAAGCATCAGGGCCTCCCACAATCCGCACAATTTCCAAATCATCCAACAGCATGAACTGAAACCTGCAACTTCAAAGCCGTGCATACCAAACCCAAGTAAGAAAGGAGATCCCTCCTCCCCGAATGGAAAAAGCGTCGACATCGCGTCTGGTGGAGAATTCCGCCACATTCAATTTTAATGTCGTGATGCCCCAGCGTTGCTTAACACCTTTCTTCAGTCGGTCAGCCTCACTCAATCCTTGCTACACTCCCAGCACGACGGAATGGCGTTCCCTCACGTGGACACAAGCATCAACGCTGCGAAAGGTTCCGGGCTCTTCAGTCTTGGAACTTGGGGAAAGCCACCGCTGTGACCATTGCAGGCAGACTGCATGCGAAAAGGCCTATCTGAGAACCCTGAACCCTAAACTGCCGTCCTTGATGTTGCCTGCGCTCTCCAGCGTTAGCTTGCAACAGTCCAGCACTTTGGCGCCTGTGTTGGGCCATCTGGAAGATTCTCGAGGCCGTTGTTGATATAAGGACTATACAATGGTTATTTAAGGTGATGGGATTAAGGGTCTTTATCAGGGGTCCCTCCTAAAGTCCTTAGATTATGGCCATTCAAGCTACGCATGCTATTGCTAACTACTCGACAAGCCCTGCACGTGCTCAGAGAGAGCCCAGCAGCTTAGGTTGAAGACTTGGACGACCGAACACACGCATGGCGAGCGTAAGAGTTTATGATGTTAAGGCTTAAACTCAAAGCCGCGTACTGGCTTTTGGGCAGCCTACCCGGGAGCTTCCTTTGTGTCGGCAGTTCTTATTCTGCCAAACATCCCGTTCAGCCCGGCGGACATTTGCACAAGCCTAGGGATCTACCAGCACACCAATCTGCTAGCAACACTCTGTCGCTGATGTTCTTTTCACTCCGGTCAGTCTGTACCCACTTGCGGATGCTCCTCGTGCTGCAAAAGTCTACGGCCACCCAGCTTTAGCAGCCAAGGCAAGCCAAAGCCATAATGCAGTTGCATCCAAATCCTGATCTGACACAAGCCATCACGGCCTGAACTCGCAGACTCGTAGGGCGTTAGGCCCCCTTGATTGTTTTTAACCGAAGAAACCCAAACCCTCAAGCAAAGCTCAGCCCAGGCTGCACGGCTACATGCTCAGTTCAAGGGGCCCTGTTTTAGCGTCCCTTTAGTCATCCGTGTCGTTCAGTTTGTAGGGGCTTTGCCTCGGAGGCTTCTGGGGGGCAGCTGAGAACCGAGGGGCCCTTGACTGAGGGGTCTTTGGCGAAGTGTCCTAGATGCAGATGGGCGGCGCAACTCCGTTTCCTGTTCATACCACTCCGGAAGCTCGTCTTTCAACGATGGGGCGGCACCTGTGCTGTAGAAGCCTCTAGGAGTCTTGGGCACGAAGGATGCACGTTGCAGGTTTGGGCTGGGATTTCGGCATGAAATTCCTTCCATAGTTCCATCAGTTCAAACTGAAGGCATAAACTCCACCACGTGGTAGGGCTGCACATCAAAAGGATCACCTTGCGAAGCGAAGCCCCGCCATGAATCAAAATGCCTTCGAACCCGGATCGCTCTTGGGCGACCTGTCCGTGTCAATAGAAGAGAAGGCGCCACTTACGACACCTACCGGCGACACAAGCATCCCATGCCATTCAAGACCTGCCAGGTGTCCTGAAAAGCTTCCGAAAAGCCCCAAATTATTATTCTGGACATCTCAACGGCACACGTCCCATGATCACCCAAATCGTCTTAAACTTTCTGAAGAGGCACTAGAGCCTGATCCCGGCAGGAAATCATCCGAAAACCCACCCACCAGTGCAAAATCACAGAAGAAGCGGCAGCACCAAACCGCTCTAAAGTAATCTGCTGGCCTGTGAACTCCAAACCCAAACCCCAGTTTAGAACGGCAACCCTGGTCTCAATGCAGCGTGGGAGCTGGGAACTTCTTTTTCTTCTCGCTTCTGCTGCCTCTTGGCCGCCTTGGCTTTCATACGGTCGCCAATCTTACCATCCATTCCGTACCCGTTCGTAGAAGTGTGTCATGTGGTTCAGAATACTGCAACTGATTGTCTTTGTATGGCAAGTCAACAGTGCAGTTTAGTACTACTACTATTGAGTCGCTGCAACAAAGAGAGTGTTGCATCGACGAAGACTACGACGAGTACTACGCTACTGCTGCTGCCGCTGCAGCACTGCCACTCCTCCTGCTCTGTTCCAAAGACAACTACCACTACTACTGCTAGTACTGTTGCTACCAGTGCCTCACTACTGCGGCACAAATGCTCAATACAACAGCCTCTACAGCCTTCTGTCTTCGAATTCGGCTCTTCGCGGACCTACTCCTGATCCGTTGCCGTGCCGTCTAACTGTAACCGCTAGTGCAACTGCCGCTAATGCCAGCCCTTGCGCCACCATGAATACCTTCACGACCACTAACGCTGCTGCAGTAGTAGTCGTTCTTGCCGGTGCTGTCGCTGCTTTGGATGCTGCTGCGGTTGTTGAGAGATTCTTTCATGTTGTCGTTGTGGTCGCGGCTGCCGCTGCTTCCGTTGCTTTTACTGCTTCTGCTGCTGTGCTAATGGTGGTGTGTTGACATTGCCTCGGGCACCGTGGTGCCGTGAGACTCGTAGCCCCCAAGCTCCACAGCCGACCAACAAGGCCTCACACCCTCGACTGCGAATTTTCCTGCCCGATAGCATGTTTGACCATGCCACATGCTTCGATGCCTTCGATTTTCTCTTGGCCTTTCGAGGGCTGCAAAAGGAGAGCTGCTGGAGTTTGTGTAAGGCTTTGCGTCTAGTAGTCGTCGTTGAGGCAAGTCACGACAATATATAAATGGCAGCAGCAGTGGTAGTAGTAGTAGTGGTAGTAGTAGTAGTAGTAGGAGGAGGAGGAGGAGGAGGAGGAGGAGGAGGAAGGAGGAGGGGGGGAGGAGTAGGAGTAGCAACAGCGGTAGCAGTAGTAATAGTAGGAGGACGAGGAGGTGCAGGATTAGTAGTCGTCGTCGTCGTAGTGGTGGTGGTGGATATTCACAACAAGTAGTTATTTCTCCTCATGCTGGTAACGGTCTTAACGCAAGGACAATCATCGTCTGAATGTTTAAGACACAGAAGTTGAGCACACAGTGGCACGAAAAGTAATCATGTCATGACCATGGTAGCAGTGAAAGCAGTATCTTCCCGAGAGCTCCTAGACCTTCCCCGAATCAGACAGGCAGGCAAGCTGTGCATGCAGCTTTGGGTGCACGGTTTCCTCGGGTCTTGGATTTTAGGCTCGCAGGAAGGGCAAGAAGGCAAGGAGATGTTCAAACACCGATTTGGGCTGCAGAAGTGCTTGTGAAAGGCCGAATCTGCTTGCACGTCCCGCAAACACTCCTCTTTCCCAGCGCGACTACAACCTGAAACGCAAAGCCCATGTCGAACCACAGCCCAGGACTCAAGGCCTCTAAACTCGCAGCCCGAACACCACCTCCGACGTAAAACAGATGATAGGCCCTGTGTCAAAGCTTATAAGCCTCATACAGCCCCTGTAGTACAAGTACGACGCCATAAATCCTGAACCCAAACCCTTACAATCTCCGAAACCGGAGCTTTCAGGCCTCCGGGCTTGCAGATGCCTGGGGCTGTCGGGCTGTAGGGATTTGTAGGTTAGAGACTCTCCCGGCTTGACCGAGTGCGGCTTGAGTGAGCATAAGCGGGCTGATCAATGAGAATAGGGTTCCGGGGTGTGGTCTCTTTCTGCTTCTGGTGCGCTTGTCCGTCTGTGTAGAAACTGGAGGGGATGGCGTTGACAAAAGCGGCGCTGGTGTGACTTCGCCGCTTCATACAGTTCCCTTCCCTTTGGGTTTTGGATACGAGGGTTGTACAGCTCCAGACAATAGAAGGGATTTTCAGTTCATGCTCTGTCGCAAAAGTAGGGTTCAGAAGGGAATCCTCGTGCCGTTGTTTCCAAGTCTGTCAGATCTGGGTTGAGGAACGAGCATGAACGGGTAAATCATGTCAGGCGTCTTCGGCTGTTGGGTAGGGTTTTGGGCTTTATGCTAGTAGAACTACCAGGTGACTCTCCGGAGTGTCGTGACTGTTTCCGACCCTAACACTAACTTGATCCTTGGAGCTAATGACCGTCTTGTCTGAGACTTCTAGAAAGCCTAAGCCCCGAAACCCCCACACCCCAGCCCAATACGAAGGGTCTTCCGACCACGGTAGCTACGGCGCTTTCGCGACATGAATAGAAGGCTCATCGACCTTGTTGGTTTAGGGCTTCACGCAAAGCTTCTTCCCTAGAAGGGATTATCGTCGTTTAGCGTCTGTGCTGGAGATCAGGCCCGGAGCGCCAAAATTCGAACGCCATGCTGCAGGGGCAGGAGCTGTCCTGGATGGGCCAGTCGGAGTTGAGGGCGTCGCTGCCTCAGCTGACAGTTGCAGGTCTCGCGTTAGATCAAGCTTGCATTAGGGTAGGTTCAGGCTGGGCCAGGAGCGGGCGCTGGCAGAATCTCGGAATCTTTTTCGAGGGGCTCCTGCGTGGAAAGCAAGAGCCACTCGAGCAGGTCGGCAAAAGGTACAAAAGCCGCAAAGGAGCCACAAGATCAAAGCGCAGGCTTGCCTTCGCCTCTGTCTGCTCGGCCCCTCCTTTGACCTCCTCTTCGTGAGGCACCTTTCGAATGTGTCGAAACGCAACTTGGGAGAAAAACTAAGCTTACTGAGGTGCAGACCTCTGTACACGGCACGGGAGTTTCAGGGCGACCCAAGAAGACCTGCCATGAGGTGGCCACAAACTGCCCCAAAAATGCGGTATGTGGAGGCCTCTTAGAGCCACCGACTTTTATGGGAGCTATGGAGAAGGGGAGGCTTGAAGTCAGGCCGAGATGGCTTAGATGCCCCCTTGCCTCCATGATCTTTGTTGCAGATGACGAGATCCTGGCAGCAAATGAAGGTGAGACGCGACAGGTACCGTAAGAGCTCCGGAAATCGTGGCAGCTTCGCACGTTGTAAATCCCGTTTTCGTTGCCATCTTCTGGCTCCTCTGTCATTGTCCTCGAAGGATGCTGGGGATTGCTGTCAGACACAGGTTCTCCAGTTGTCTGGGTCCGCTGCTGGTCGGATGGCTCCTGCAAAGGAGCCGGGCTTCAGAACAGGGGTAGGCGTGCACACCAAACAAATCAACGCGCGGCCCTGCCTTCTCCTTAGTCTTCTCTTCCAAGCTCTTGGGCTCCTGCTCTTCTCTAGGCACTTACGCTTCCAGGTGGCGAGCTTTTGGCGAAGAGGCATTGCTCTCGTTGATCCGGATGCGTGCGCTGGAGACGGGGGAAAGAAAGGTGAGCAACCATGGTCGTCTGTCGTCGCGTGCTCACCCCCTCTCAGGCCCGGATTGGATAGCTCAGGGTTTCACATGATACACAGTCTCGATAACATCAGGACCATGGCAAGCTTGAGCAAGCTGCCAAAATCAAGCAAAGCATCTCAGCAAGGAGGCATCATGAGCTATGGCTTCATCCGGCCCAGGCATGCTTCTCAAAGGCATGCGACGAAACTGATTCGCACCTCCACCCGCTGTCGCTTCGAAGACGTTTCCACCGCATCGGCCGAATCATCAGCAACCTAACTCCGCCCGGCAAGCACTCGCCGAAGGTTTTTTATGGGATTATTTAGGGCCAGGACAACGGTATGAGAGCTGCCGAGCTGCCTCTTCGGTGCTTTGCTTCTCCTTCTCCTCGTGGAGAGCGGCCTGCACTGGTCATCAGCGGATTTCTGGAAACTCAGGCTCCGGTTTCAGGTCCTGCGGAAGGGGCCGATGCCTGGGGATCCATGTTGGAGTCCAAGTAAAGCCGAAACTTGTCTGTCGGATAATTTACTGCTTGAATTGAAAACAGGTACAGTGGCTTCAGGAACTTGTTGTTGTAAGCTGGAAAACAGCCTGCCTGCTGCCGGATCCCCTGTCAAGTCCTGAAGGTCTCTGCGCGTCACTTTCGGAAGACTATTCCTTAACCCCGACAAAGGAACAACTTGGCTCCTGGAAGACCGCATGATCCCAAAAACAGAATCCTAAGCTATGGCTTGTTGCAGAGACCAGAGCTGAGGCCAAGCCGCAAAGCTTACATGAAAGGCTGAAGCCTTTTTCCCTTACCCTAAACCCTAAACACTAAACCCTAAACTCTAAACACTAAACCCTAAACCCTTACTGCCAGGCTGAAACCTGGAAGCTCGAGACCCCTCAGGGCACCTGGGGTTCCGCTGCCTGGTCCCTGGCGCCTCGTGAAAGGGCTTTGGGCTTCGATCTCCTTGGAGGCCTAGGGCCTAGCGTCCCTTCGACGGAGAATCAGGCGACTTAAGGGTTCAGTCTGGAGGCTTCGGAGGAGGGAGGATGTCTCGTGGCGAGGGTTACCGAAGCTTCTGTGTCGGCCTGGAGGGTTACAAGTATGCATGTTCAACGCCCCTTTCGGGCAGCTAATGTGGGGGCCTTTATCAGTAAATGGAGTTCTGGGGTATGCCATGGTACATGGTGGATGAATATGGGACTGGAAGGGGGTACTATGACTAAACATTCCGACCCACATGTTCCACATATTCCGGGCTAATGGGGTATGACTTGCCCGCCTCCAAAAACACACAGTCCCAAGGGCAGCTTCTGCTCCCAAAAGTTCCAAAGTTGAATAGAATCCCGCGCCTGCAAGGGCGGTCACCGAGCCTGCGTGGAGCAGCAGAAGTGATCTGACTTCGTGCTGCTCCATGTGCTCCAGATCACCGTCTGTGTACCTCTCTAGTTTCGAGGGTATGAGTTTAGGGTTTTGGGGTTCGTGTCACTTTCATTGTATACCTGTCTGCTGTTGAAGCTGTTTGGGTCCTGTGTTCCATTGAGCCAACAAACGATTGAGGAGGAACTCCACATCAAGCGTGTCTCATGGAAGCTGGATCCAAGTCAGTGATCATATGGCCAGCAAGAATACTGGCAATGGTAGCTGTGGCTGTAGCAACGATAAGAAGGAAAAAAGTTGTTGGTAATCCTGCTTATGATCTTCACAGGTCATAAGCAATGTATCCCTAACCACACCCTCCCATCCGTGGCTCTGCGGATGATGAGCAAAGAGGCATCAGGGAGCGCCTTTCCTGATGTTGCCCTGGTGGAGTTACAGGGAACCAGCGTGGACCCTTGAAGCTTCTCACCGTGAATCCCAATATAGAGTTCATGTAGGGGCCTCAAGAATTAATAATTACCAATACTATTTTGGGGGTTCCTTACTATCATTTTAGTATATTGGGCCCCATGTAACAATATCGCCTTGTAGTCCTTGCAATCTATGCTCCAGCCTACCTCAAATTCCTAATCCCTGTTCTGACTATGCAGGACGCCCCGCTCGCCCTCGACCCCTGCCACAAAAGGTTCTGCAACAACTCTTGAGATCATGTCTTGTCTCTACCCATTTATTCAGGTGCCGTACTGGTTTTTCTAGGGCTGGCAGGCGCGCCGGATTCGATAGAGTCGATCTCGAGAAACCTGGCCGACCTCGATGTCTTCAACTTTGCCGCGGAAGACCTCCCACAATCTAGTTGCGGAGTCTGAGGGACCCTTCCTGTCAATAGAGAGGTTTCGGCCAGTTTGGATCTTAGGTATGCACGTGAATGTATACCGCACTTCAGCTGAGGGAGTAATGAAAGTCACAGATTTCCGTCAGCCATCTCTACTGCCATCAGCTCAACTAATTTCGGGGCCCGGGGCTGAAGGAATCGGCTGGTTATTGACACCGTGTACCGAGCACAGAGGAACGAAACTCAATTCTAAGGCCCCTATGGTGAATCGACGAAGAAACCTCTAGTTGAGGTTTTTGCCTCGCCGTTAATCTTCTTCTCGATGGCAACACCCATCAGCGGATCCGTTTCCTCGGAACATGTCTGCCGCATGAGATACGTGAAGGGTGTTGGTTCGGAGAGTTGTCGGTTGAGTGTCTCGGATTGAGGGGCAAAGGGTCTTGGACAACTGATTGTGCCGTCTCGATGCTTGGATCTTCATTGAACAAATGTTGTACCCTACTTGCGAAAGAAACAGAACGACAGATGTGATGAAAACAATAACCAAAGGCCCCAAAACCCCAAACCAAGATTGCTTGCCTAAACCTTCACAATTCCCTCCCCTCCCATTGTGCACACACGCACAAGAAAGAAAATACTGAAACAGATACCGAGCCGACGAAACGTCTACTGAAAGAAGCTAACATCACACGTAGAGAGAGGTACACACATATATATATATATATATATATGTATGTATATAGAAGTGAATGTTAAACAGCCCCAGACAAACCATCCCTCTTCCTCTGATGAAAAAGCGACACAAAACCTGAAACCCACCTTGTAACAGCACCTCACAATTCCTCGCCTTCTCATGCGCCGGCAAGCTGTCAATGGGCTCTTCCTCGAGGATTGAAAAGATTAGAGTTCTATGTGAGGACCCTAAGAAGGAACAGGGTTTGGGAAATCATGAGACTAGTGAGTGCATCGGGGAATGTATGGTATCAGTACATGCGACAACCCTGAGGATTACAACTGTTATTCAAGTTACCACTTACCATGTTAGAGCTTGGTGAATGAGTTTGTAGGGACACAGGGTTTCGACTCGCACACTCGCACAATGCAGGCACGGATGTTGGAAGTTTCAGACAACGTGAAACCCCACGACACAGGAGATAGTCTGACACAATCAGCGAACCATAAGATCCCTAGAACAAGTAAACCTAAACCGTGACACACCCACAAGAAACACACGGCCTCCGGCAACATTGCGAACGTACCCCTGGAGCTCGTAGCAGCATTTTTCTGAAAAGATCATCCTAGATACAGGTAACATATGTCACATTGAGATACCATGCTGTGGTGGCTCGCAGGGCCGCCCAACACGTCTAGACAACAGCAGGCACATGTCATCTGTTGTACCTAGCTTATCTCGCGGATCACTGACGTCGCTATGGGCAGCCACCGGAACGCTTCCGGCGTCCACTTCAGTACCATGGCGGTCGCAAGCAGAATTCACTGTGACCCAGAGGTCACACACTGCAGTCAGTTCCATGAATTCCACAAGTTCAGGACGCATCCGCGAAGGACACAGGGTTTAAGGGCTTACAGTTGAGGAACAGGTCGCCCTTCGAGACTGTTGCTTTACATAGCTTGTACATGGAAGAATAGTTTTGCTCAGCGTTTGCGCAAGAATATCAGTTCGGAGATGAAGGCGTGGAGTGTGGACTATTGACATTGTGTACCGAGCACGGAGGAACGAAATCAAATTCTCAGGCCCCTATACCGAATCCACGAAGAAACCTGTCTAGCTGAGGTTTCTGCCTCGCCGTTAGTCTTCGTCTCGATGGTAACCTCGGAACAGGTGTGCCGAATGAGATACATGGAGGCTGTGCCGTCTCGATGCTAGGATCTTCATTGAACAACTGTTGTTCCCTACTTGCGTAAGAAACAGAACGACAGATGTGATGAAAACAATAACAAAAGGCCCTCGACCCCGATGCTCCAAAGAATCCAACACCCCAAACCAAGATTGCTCGCCTATAACCTTCACCATTCCCCCCTCCCCTGCCCTCGCACAAACAAAAAAGAGAGAAAAGAAAGAACGAGATCAAGAGACGACGAAATTTCTATGGAAAGAAGGCGCAACACATGTGTATATTTGTATATATTCATATATGTATACATACACACACATACATATACGTGTACAATATGTGTATACATACAAAGATATGAGTGTTAAACAAAAGACAAACCATTCCGTTTCTTTGGAGAAAAAGCCACACAAAAGCTGGAACCTGCCTTGTAACACAAGAACACCTCACAGTTCCTGGCCTTCTCATGCGTGGGCAAGCACTCGATGGGCGCTTCCTCCAGCTTTTGGAAGATTGGAGCCCCACGTCAAGATGGTAGGAAGGAGCAGGGTTTGGGATTTGATAAAGATGCGCCAGAAATGACTAGACTAGCGAGTGCTTGGGGGAATCCATGGTATGAGTACATGCGAGAACCCTGAAGAGTACAAGTGTCGTTCAAGTCACCATTTTAAAGTTTGATGAACGAGTTTGTAGGGACACAGGGTTTAGGGGCTTACAGTTGATGAACCGGTCGCCCTTCTCGCGGGACTGCTGCTTCACGTTGCCGGTATCTGGAAGGGTAGCTTTGCTCAGCGTTTGCGCAAGAATATCAGTTTGGACCATCGCTTGTGTCTGTGGCTAGGGGCCTCCACCACAGCTGCTGTCGGCGACGGCTTCTCCTCCATCGCTGGGGCAGCAGCAAGGTCGGCCTCAACTTGAGGACTTGCAGTCCTTGCTTACGAGCAGTTCCCGCCAATCTGACTGGAAGCTCAGCAGCTAGAGTTGCCGTTTGGAGCGTGGCACATGAGACTCTAAAACATGGCTTAGCAGGTATTCGGGCGCTTCTTCAGCATCTGCATGCCTTTGCAAGAGCCATAGAGCAAACACATCTTAAGGCTTATGCAATTCATCACAGATTAAAAGAGCAGAAACTAAAGGCCTGCATTTCATCGCTTTCCTTGATTGCTGTTTCTTTCGGCTGCGCTGGTGCGAGTTGCTCCTGGGGACGCTTGGGCTGCACGATTCTGCAAGACAACCAAAGCAAGCTTTCTGCATGTTAGAAACATAATCCGGAAGGGTCGGTCTGGAAGCTCCCAACGACAAACATCAAGGAAAACGAACGCATGTGCGTCAGAGTTGTGCTGAAAGCGCCTGGTCTTCCCTGACGATACCATCTGTTGTGTGTAACGCGCATCTTACCGGCACGACGCGGTGTCCCGCGATTTCCTTCACCCGAAAAGCCTTTCCGTCTACCCTGCGGCGGACCATGGAAACAAGAAGTGACTTTCTCGGCGGATTCTGGCCTCTTCCTCTGTTTCGGGTACAGGTACCTCTTCCGCCGGATCCCGTTCGGGCTTCTCTTCGTCGTCCTCAACGTCACACCGGGCATGTCTACACAAGGCAGTATCTCGAGAACCCTCAATCTGGAACACGGCTCACCGGTCAGCTTCGAGCCCTCCAGTCTTGCACCCACGGAAGGCTCTCTTTGGGGGCTTAGGACCCTTGCATGCCCAGGGACTCCACGGGAAGCAGAGATCCCATCCTTCTCATCACCATCATTTTCACCATCACCATGATAGTCCCTCATCACTTGGATATCTGTCGCTGCAAGGGCTTCCGAGCAAATGGCGAGTGTCAGGGTGATTCTTTGCAATCTGACGACCGAAAGGAGATCGGCAATAGCACCTCTAACAGCTGCCCCACAAGTCCCACAATCTCACTCTACCTACTTGGAGAGACTCGTGCTACTTGGAAGTCTCGTCGAATCTCTCCCGGAAAACTAGCCTCTGCAAGGTTTTACGCACCGGCCCAACAACTTCGAGACTTGACGAACACTTATCTATCGGAAAGGATTCCGGACATTCGCGACTGACCTCAAGCCTAGACCCAACCCCCCTACAGACGACCCGAAGAAACCAGCTCTGCAGAGACGCCTCAGCCAGAGACGGCTCCTGAGCTGGCGCAGCTGGGTTCATGTCAGGCACGGCCTGAGACGAGCAAGGGAGCTTTCAGATCTGGAGCTTGATGGGTGTGAGGCTCAAATTTTGGGGGAGTTTGGCGCTTGAGGTTCAGAGCTGTAATTGCAGGTGTCGGCTTGCATTTGGCAGTCTCCTCGAGGTTGCAAAGCGGATCTTCCGAGACAGCGGCAGAGCCAGCCAAGGCCACGCCGAGACAAGAACTCAAGAACACACCTTAAAGAGACCATCACATGAAGCCGAAATAGTAAGATCCTCGCCATAAAGCTCCTTGTGGCACAAGGTGTTTTGCAAATGCCAATTCACGAATTGAGCGGTCATGCCACGCGGCTCGACATCAAAACCGACAGCCGCAGCAAAATCATGTCAAACGGAACTTCAAAGCTTCCGCCTTTTTTGGGTGCCCATCCGACCTGTTTGATTTGCATCTTGGGATCTACGGTTCACAAATGTACCTAAACACGGCAGTGAGCTCTACTCTCTACTTGATGCTACAGCCCCCACTGGGCGTGCATACATCGACGAAGAATGCTGAGCACGGTGGAGCGGGAGGCCAGCTTCAAACTGCTGAGGTAGCTTGTGAACCCTAGGATCCTTTTTCGCAAGCCGTCTGCATCTTACCAGGTGTGACTGTGCGATGTCATGTTTTGGAGACCGGGGGGTCTGGGGCTGAAGGTAGCGGAACAAAGTCCATTAGCTGCTGCGCAAGACATCATGGATGTGTAAAACCGTGAACGATCTTCGTGGCTTTCCCTGTTTGGTCAAAACTCTGCTTTTCTTCTGAAGTGGTTGGATGCGATGGCTTGCGATGCCTTTCCGTCGTCACATGTATGTATATTTATATATATATATATGTATATATATATATATAGATGTGCTCTGGGTTCAGGGAGGACGACGGAGGCGACACGTGTCACTGCAATGATCCGCCGTGCGGCAGCCAGACAGAGGGGGAGAACCGCATCAGAGCAGGGACAGGGGCACCATTTGCATGGAGAGTGGGGCAACATCAAACCAGACTCTGCCAATCAGCTGGGAAGCAGCACATGCAGACTATTGCATCCGGGTAAATCCGTCAACACGAGAGGCCTGCACAGTCTATCGCATACTGATGATCATTCGCACTGAGAACTCAAAACGTACATCAAAATCCTTTAGTATGGTAACGAGACCATACCCCTGTAAGACACACTGCCCCTCTACCCTAGTCTGTTAATTGCTCACAAGCAACACACAGCTTGGGAGGATGCGGGAGAAAAGGAAGTGGAGAGGTCGACAACCCAAGCAAAACTGCAGGCAGCACGCCACAGGCGAGGCGGGGCCAACCAACAAGACCAGCCAGTGACAGGCAAGGGAGGGATACTATGCGGTGGGGGCGGAGAGGGCGGGGGGCAGCAGCCCTGCCCTAAATAAATAAATAAACAAAGGAATGTGCATAACTAAATCAATTAAAAATATATATATATATATATATGTATGTCTGTGTGTATGTACGTTGGTTTACATACATACCTACGTACATACATGCGTACATACGTACATACAACCACCCGTGCACCCATGTGCTTAGGTATGTCTGTATGTATGTATGTATGCATGCATGTACGTATGCATGTTTGCATACAAAATACACACACATGCAAATATATATATATATATATATACACACACACATACATATGTATATGCATACATAAACATAGGTTATATATTGTAAGCAGCATATACGCACAAGGTAACATGGAGTACACGAGCTGGGACTAGCTTCTTGGTCAAGCCTGGTCCGCATCGGACAGGACCGGGCGCTTCCTTTCTGCTGGCAACTCCTGCAGAAAGCATCCCAGCTGAGGCTCCCTCTGAAACATCTCGGAGGTTGTTTGCGGTTTTGGAGCAAAGCGCCTGTGAATGGCAAACTAGCAGCCGGCACAAAACGTGGAAGTGTACTGAATTTCTTCACTATGACAGCATTTTAGAGTCAAGAAAACCGCCGTCTGCTCGACCTCGGACTTTCAGCGATTTGCGCAAACAGCAGCACCCTAACGCTGCATCCAGAAGTCTGCCAAATCGCTGTGCAAAGCCTAAATGCCTACTGCTCCCCAAGCCATGACAGCTCTTTTGCTCTGGGCCGCACTGGGCCACGGGTCAGGGTGCACTCCTGCACCCAGCTTGAACCTTTGACCCAAAACCCCGCGTCCATGCTTGAAAGTGAGCCCCTGCAACCTTCAGAATTTTGTTTTGAGCAGCACCTGTCCTATCTTCGCAGTCAGACTATCAGAAATGCTGCATCAACCGGGAACTTCATGTTGACTAAAACAAGACACCATCTGTTTCCATGCTTGGTCACTGCTGTCTGAGACAAGACGCGAAATTGGGAGTGGCCAGCACGTAGTGCAGCCACTGGATGACGGGCTTGACCTGACAAAGCTACGCCAGAAAGTCCCGAGACCAGAAATGCATTGAACTTGCCGCGGCTGAGGCCTGACAGCTCCTGGCAAGCACTATGATGCATCGTCATGGCAGTTAGTGATACCATAGACAACAAAGCCTGTAACCCCGGACATTGAGAAGAATCTGTGAGAAGCAACATGGTTATCACATGCCGATCCAAAGAAGGCCGTACAATGTTGGGAACTCCTTATGCCGCCATGCTACACACTTCAACGATGAGGTCTTACGCCACCATAGACGCGCAAACTAAAACATAAGATCCCTTCTCGATCTCCATGGCGCCTTCTTCGCATACCCTCGAACCTCGAAGCCTGGTGACTCTAAACCTAATACACACGCACACTTCTGTACATGTGTATATATATATATATATATATATGTGCTCACGCCCCCTGATCCACCCGAACCCGCTTTGTCTAAGCAGTGGATTATGGGTTGTGGGCAGCCTCAGATGCGAAAACATCGGCAGGGATCAAATTTCCCCCCAAATTCGCCAAATCTGAGCAACTATAGCCCCGCATTCCCCATAGATGCCAGGATTTTAGGAATTTGGG